AAATATCCAAATACAGGTAAATAAGGTCTGTCCTTAGGTATGTGATCTAAGTTGATCTCCCAAGACACGTTTGTAGCAAGCTCATCCCAAATTCTGTCATTTGGGTCTATATATCCCCATGCATCGCCTAGGGCATTAATCCTATAAATTTACAAACAATATACCCTGGTAACTAAACGCTATGGCCCGTAGACGTTAATTATAATTTATAAGCTCAATTTAAAGTTTAAAACAAAGAATATTGGAGACAGGTGATTAAGACAATATGAAGTAGATATAAATGGTGGGTAATTAAGGTGGATTAAGATCCCTTAAAATATAATTTACTGAATAAATTAAGTAATACTGTGCGGATTAGCACGACGTATGAAACATTTACTATTGAGTCCAAATTCACACTACTATAATACAGCAGTAAACTTCTGCCAAATCTGTATGCTTACTATAGAGCCCAGTCAGCGTGTTGAACCAACTATGTCACTTCCTGTTTTAATAAAAATTATTTTCTCGCTTACAAAAACTTTTTTGCTTGTGCTACAGAGGGGATTATTTATCAATATATATTTAAGGTTTATGGAAACCTTGTTGAAAATCGTTGGTCTTCCCCTTTAAAAGTGTTCATGTACGAGACACCGCCCGTGGACACAGACATTAAGTTTATGCTCGAAAGTAGATATTTGTTCCTTAAGTAACCAATGTTCTCGAATAAGCACGCAGTCATGTTCGTCACATAATTTCTGGGTATATTCAAATCTACCTGTTGCGTGTCTATAGGAATTGTATAAAGCAAATGTCAAACAGTTCATTGATTTGATTTGTCTTGCGGATACGTACTCCATTCGGCCAAAGCGATTCGTCGAACAGTCGTTTAAATTCTGAAGATGGCTCTGCCAGTTGAAAAGATTTAGATTTAGACCCTGGATGCGAAACGCACGGCAGTTATTTTACAAATGGTCTTTGATATACTCAGAAATCTGCGAGTCGTTTAATAATAAACAAAACACAAGCTTCTTTAACACACTGTCACTCAATTGACACTTTATTCTTGTTACGTTAGATCGTTTCGATATTATGTCAAACGTTTACATTAAAATTAGAACGTTTACGATAACTCTGTTTACACACTGGACCCTTTGTTCATAGCTGTATTTTTCTTTTATTAGTTTGAGTTATTCTATGTGCCGATGACTAGTCTCTGTCTACAGTTGTATTCTGCTTGACCTGCCTTGTTTTTATTTTGCACAAGCCAACAGTGAGGCTGATGTCCCCCGCCGAAATAGCAAAATAATTAGATGACACGTATTAATTAATAGAACATTTATTTTTTTCAAAAGTATCGAACAGTTAAACTATAGACTAAGTTTCATCACTGTCTATCAAATAGAATCAAGATTATGAAACTGATAAGCTCTGCTTGGCTTCAGCTCGAAATGTTAATCATTGAACTTAGTCAAGACATTCACCTAATGAACATCTACATCAAGTTTAAACATTCTACCTCAATTAAAAGCAGAGTTATTATGTTCCAAAGTCTTGACCAATCAATTAAATTGCTTATTGCTCCTTAGCCTTAGCAGAAAATTTTCACCATCGAACTTAGTCAAGGTAATGATATAATGAATCTATATTCGGAGTTTCATCTCTCTCAAAGTTATCATGCCCCAAAGCATCAACCAATCAGATTGCTTATCTCTGCTTACCGTAAGCATACAATGTTCATCATTGAACTCCATCAAGGCATTCACCTAATGAAAGCCTACACCAAGTTTGAACATTCTACATCAATTAGAATGTGAATTATTGTGTTCCAATGTCTCGACCAATCAAATTGCTTATCGCTCTGCTTAGCCTGAGTAGAAAATGCTCATGATTGAACTTAGTCAAGGTATTGATGTAATGAAACTATACACCAAGTTTCATCAATCTCACTTAATTAGAACTAAAGTTATCGTGTCCCAAAGCATCAACCAATCAAATTGCTTATCTCTGCTTACCCTAAGCGGAAAATGCTCATCTTCGAACTCCATCAAGGCATTGACCTAATCAACACATACACCAAGTTTGAACATTCTAGCTCAATTAGGCAGAGAGTTATCGTGCCCCAAAGTATCAACCAATCAAATTGCTTATCTCTGCTTACCCTAAGCGGAAAATGCTCATCTTCGAACTCCATCAAGGCATTGACCTAATAAACACATACACCAAGTTTGAACATTCTAGCTCAATTAAAAGTTATCGTGTCCCAAAGCATCAACCAATCAAATTGCTTATCTCTGCTTACCCTAAGCGGAAAATGCTCATCTTCGAACTCCATCAAGGCATTGACCTAATCAACACATACACCAAGTTTGAACATTCTAGCCCAATTAGGAAGAGAGTTATCGTGTCCCAAAGCATCAACCAATCAAATTGCTTATCTCTGCTTACCCTAAGCGGAAAATGCTCATCTTCGAACTCCATCAAGGCATTGACCTAATAAACACATACACCAAGTTTGAACATTCTAGCTCAATTAGGAAGAGAGTTATTGTGTCCCAAAAAGTGTGACGGACAGACAGACGGACAGACAGACAGACGGACAGACGGACAGACAGACAGACAGACAGACAGACAGACAGACAGACGGACGAACCCATTTTAATAGTCCCCTGCTTTCTTCGAAAGGCGGGGGACAAAAATTCAAATATTTTCCATGTATATATACTCTACTCTTCCCAAAAAAGTAGGGGATATTGAAATGCAATATCATAAATAGTCATGGCAACTTGACATGCTTTGAGAGTATGTTCACAGATAAGGAACTTATCGCCCCAACAGAACCACCGAGCTGCGATGTGCGACACGCAATAGTGCCATACACGTGGGAGGGGTTCAGTGTCAAATTTGACACTTCAAGGAAGGGTTGATGAAAACTGCCGCGTGTTGGTATATCCTATCCATGTATGCTTTCCTATTGTTTCTTGCATAAGATTTACTGTAAGCGTATTTTTCAGGTCGTCGTAGAGCCACTACACAGGTCCTGCGAAATCAAGGGCAAACGGCCAATCAGCTTTCTGTAAACTTGTACCAAGTTACAGAAAGCTGATTGGCCGTTTGTCCTCGATTTCGCAGGACCTGTAGCCAATTTCTAATCGTTTGGGGTGGAACTCGAATTGGTACAAGTTACACCCCAAACGATTAGAAATTGGCTACATGCAGCCCATTTGCATGCGCAATGACCGCGTGGCAAACAGGCGTCAATGGTGTAGGCAGCGTTGAAATTGGGGTAATCGTCGATGGGCACTTGTAATGTTCTCAGATGAGTCCTACTGGTGGCTGATAAGGGACATGAAAAATAATATAATTTGTTTTTTATAATATTCACCCAAGTCAATTTTAATATAATTTGTTTTTTATAATTTTCACCCAAGTCAATTTCAATATAATTTGTTTTTTATAATTTTCACCCAAGTCAATTTTAATATAATTTGTTTTTTTATACTTTTCACCCAAGTCAATTTTAATTTCCACCCAAGTCAATTTTAATATAATTTATTTTTTATAATTTTCACCCAAGTCATTTGTAATATAATTTCAACTCTGCTGAATTTCCACCCAGTGCGTGATGTCATCTCAATTAGCCTCGTTTCCAAAACACTAATTTTCGCCCGCCATTGAGAAAATAAACGTGCAGGGGTCGACACAATCTTAGTCGGGATCTGACAGTGAAACGTATTGAAATAAAATGAAATGGGGGTTTAACGTCCTACCCCGATTGGGTTACTGAATGCAGTATGCCAGAATGGAAATTTCAACTGTCAAGAGTTATTTTACATTCTAGCCAATGTACTAGGGGCATAGGTATTGATATCAGCATGCATCCGTCATAGACAATGCTACCAAACATCCAGACATAGAATTCAGCGCTGTTTGTTGGAAAGAGATAACACAGAGGGTCTCTTTTCTTGGACTTGGGGGCACTTCAACTGGATTCAGTGCTTCCTTTCAGTTTAATTTTTGGATATTTTCAAAAAAAAAGTTTATTACACTTTCCAGTATAGGCCTATTTACATAGCAAATAATGAGAGAGAGAGAGAAATGGGGTTTAACGTCCACTCGACACAAACTAGGTCATTTCGGGACAAACATATGGTTTAATTTTATTTCTATAATTCGCTTGCGCATAGGGGTCTTTAGCAGTGGGAGGAAACCGGAGGACCCGGAGAAAACCCACGAGGTTGGACAGGCGACCCTACTCCTTGCCACGTACAACCGGGGATTCGAAACCACGCCAGTTGACTCAAAGCAAATGATGGGTCAAACGCATGACTCTTGACCTTACTACTGGAAACAAACACAGATAGCTTTGCCATGAAGTCAAAGGGCCTCTTTTCTTACAGGACACAGAGGGTCTCTTTTCTTGGACTTGGGGGCACTTCAACTGGATTTGGTGCTTCCTTTCAGTTTAATTTTTGGATATTTTCAAAAAAAAGTTTTTTACACTTTCCAATATAGGCCTATTTGTATAGCAAATCTCCCCAGGGAGGTCCTCGCAAGATACTTGAATCAATATGTATAAAGAACAATTAGAAAAGACCCATGAAAATGATGTGCTTGAAATTTAGAGTCGACCAAGAGTGACATGGCATGCGAGCTTATTGGACATCAGAAACAGATCGAAGACCTTAAAGAAGAAAATGAACATTTAAAACAAGATTTGGACGAATGTTACGACTATGATGAAAACCATATTTATGATGGTCCACCCAATACTTGACCCTGTAATACAGGGACGATTTTTATAATGGCCCACCCAATACTGGTCCATATGATAATGGTGGCAACGATTTTAATGATGGACCACCCAATACTTGGAAGTATAATAATGGAGACGATTTTTATGGGGGTCCATCGAATATGCGTCCATATAATAATGGAGGAAATCATTTTAATAATGGCCCACCAAACAATTGGCCAAATAACAGTGGATCAAAATATAAAAATAAATTTAGAAACAAATCTTTTAAAAAAACGATTTTAATTATTTTATTTACGTAATAAAGACAATATAATTACCTTGATAAACCACATACCTATTCCAATTTATATTTTATGCATACTTTTTGATGGCTAAACAGTTTTAATATTTTTAATTTATATGCTTATCAGAACAGAGTGTGTTTCATTATGATTTATTATTATTATGATATTAATTAAACTGGACCAGGGCGCATATATCCACTATGTGTCGACTCGCATCCACTTTACAGAATTTATTAATTTTTATATTTGTACTTATATATGTTGATATTGATATTATGTATTATGATTGTTTTTCTACAATTGTACACTTCACGATATCAAAAGTCAAGCACGATCAATCATAATCAGTAGTCAAAAGTCAAACATAAGAATACTATTTGTTGGGGGAATAGTTTCATATCACAATCACCACGTTGCTGGTCCAAATCTCTGTATTAATTTCTCTTCATCATCTAAATCTTTCTGTACTTTTTTCCTCATGTAAAAAATAGGACAATCACGACTGAAATACAAACATGAAAAATTCAAAATACTTGTCTTTAAGAAGCCGATTTACCCAATAGCACCCAATACCAAACAAATACTACCTCATTATTGTGAAAAAATAACAGAATGGTTGAATTATGCAAAACAGATTGAGTAAATACGCAGAATTAGCCAAATTTTTATGATGAACAGGAAAAGTCTATTTACAGTATCAGTACAAAGTAGTTCAAGTGTCTACGATACATGCCAAATATCTCCCAGTTCTAACCCAATACTACACAATTTTGCAAGATATGGATAGAGAACAAGCTAAAAATAAAAACGTGATTTTTTGTACAATCACGGGTCATAATACGTGTAATGGTCTGAAATGCGCGAATATCAAAAGGAACCGAGATCTTTGGGGTATTGGACAAAAAGTGTGACCTCTAGAGGGTCCACAGCCTAAAAATGTGATCTTTCGTACAATCAAGGGCCATAATCCACAAAGGTATATACGGTTTATGATGTGTACGGATATCGAAACCAGCGGCTGCCAGGCAGGATACGCCCACATTTTTGAGAGATGGATAAAGAATAAGCTAACAAGAAAGTGATTTTTCCTACAATCAAGGGCCATAATTCAGGAAATTACAATTTGATATGCGTGATTATCGACAGGAACCGAGATCTTTGGGTTATAAACTTACATTTCAAGTTTCAACAAAATCGGATAAAAATTGTGACCTCTATAGGGTCCACAACCTTGATATACCATATTTTTACGCTATTTGATAAAGAACGGCAGCCATTTTGTCTGTCAATTTTGGGCCGATTTTCACGAAATTCGAACTCAGTCGTCCTTAGGGTGTAACGGTGATATAATAAAACGTTTTTTTAAATCTGATAAAAATCATAACCTCTACAGGGTCCACAAGCTAAAAATGCGATTTTTCGTACAATCAGGGACCATAATTCAGGAAGTTACGGTCAGATATGCGCGAATATCGAAAGGAACCAAGATCTTTGGGTTATAAACTTACATTTCAAGTTTCAACAAAATCAGATAAAAATTGTGACCTCTATAGTGTCCACAACCTTGATATACCATACTTTTACACTATTTGAGAACGAACGGCGGCCATTTTGTCTGTCAATTTTGGGCCGATTTTCACGAAATTCGAACTTAGCCATCCTTAGGGTGTAACGGTGATATAGTAATACGTTTTTTTAAATCGGATAAAAATTATGACCTTTATAGGGTCCACAAGCTAAAAACGCAATTTTTGGTACAATCAGGGGCCATAATTCAGGAAGTTACGTTCCGATATGCGCGAATATCGAAAGGAACCAAGATCTTTGGGTTATAAACTTACATTTCAAGTTTCAACAAAATCAGATAAAAACTGTGACCTCTATAGTGTCCACAACCTTGATATACCATACTTTTACACTATTTGAGAACGAACGGCGGCCATTTTGTCTGTCAATTTTGGGCCGATTTTCACGAAATTCGAACTCAGCCGTCCTTAGGGTGTAACGGTGATATAATAATACGTTTTTTTAAATCGGATAAAAATTATGACCTCTATAGGGTCCACAAGCTAAAAACGCAATTTTTGGTACAATCAGGGGCCATAATTCAGGAAGTTACGGTCCGATATGCACGAATATCGAAAGGAACTGAGATCTTTGGATTATCAACTTAGATTTCAAGTTCCAACAAAATAGGATAAAAATTGTGACCTCTATAGTGTCCACAACCTTGATATACCATATTTTTACACTATTTGAGAACGAACGGCGGCCATTTTGTCTGTCAATTTTGGGCCGATTTTCACGAAATTCGAACTCAGCCGTCCTTAGGGTTAAACGGTGATATAATAATACGTTTTTTTAAATCGGATAAAAATTATGACCTCTATAGGGTCCACAAGCTAAAAACGTGATTTTTGGTACAATCAGGGGCCATAATTCAGGAAGTTACGTTCCGATATGCGCGAATATCGAAAGGAACCGAGATCTTTGGGTTATAAGCATACATTTCAAGTTTAAACCAAATCGGATAAAAATTGTGATCTCTACAGTGTTCACAAGCTAAAAACGTGATTTTTCGTACAATCAGGGGCCATAATCCTTGAAGTTACAGTCCGATACATGCCAATATCGAAAGGAACCGAGATCTTAGGGCGATAAACCTATATTTCAAGTTTCATTGAAATCGGATAAATATTGTGACCTGTAGACTGTTCACAAACAATTGTGGACGGACGGACGAACAGGGGCGACGACAATATACGTCCACATGAAAACTGAGATCTGTGGGATATAGCATTAAAATTGAAGTCAAGCCCACTTTCTCAGGAAAACTAGGTGGAAAAGGTGATTTTGAGATTATGATTATACATTTGATTTTATTAGCTTTTCAAGTAGATCTCATCATTCAAGTAGTCATTTTTGGCGTTTTTTGTGATGTCATATTTCATTCTGTAGTAAAACTATCAAAAATGTAGATCTTCATGTAATACAACTTTAAGGCTAATTATGTTTCAATTTTCACATTTTAGTAACAATTACTCCAATTTCCCTAGCAACTCCAAACTACATAGGTTTTCTCAAAAATTCCATTTTATCAAAGTGATTTTGGTCAATTTTTTCATCAAAAATGGTTTTGACCATGTTATATCTGAAATATTGAACCTGGTTGTTATGCATTTTAAAATCAGTAGCTATAAAGTATGATTAACGAAAAAAAAATAGCAAAAATATTTATATGCCTTCTCTCAAGAACAGGATAAATGTCTATTTTTGAACAATTTTCTGCGGGAGCAAATTGCCTATTTTTGGGGAGTTTTTGAGACATTAATAAAATAAGAAGGAATGGAGATACACAAGTGAAATTATGTGAACATGTTAAAAGTTTTTAAAATTGCATATTTCTAATCCGCCATATATTATCAATTTTGGTTGTCATAGCAACCACATGAAAAAAAATTAATGCAATTTTCAACGTGATTTACCATAACCCAAAAAGTGATCACCACATTTTAAAGTAAGCAATTTAAAATATTTGAAACCCATGTAACATCAAATGATATGATGTGCATCAACATCAATGTTGCCGTCCTTAGAGTATAAGAAATAAGTATACCAAGATAATCCATTCAGAATTGTGGCTTTCGGGCGCTAAAGGCAAAAATTGGGCGTGGCTCTACCCCTGGGGTCGGGACATGCAGTTATCTACAAATTTGACACAGAACCATTACTTTTTGTCTTATCTAAGAATACTGGGGTCACCCCTCCCACCAACCCCGACAAGTTCATTAAAAAATATCATGTTCAAACCCAAAACATTTTAATGAATGAAAACTAGAACTTTTTTTTTTAAAATAACTGATAATTGTAAAATTGATGATTACCTTGTACAAAGAACATCTTCATGTAAACTACCCTGACAACGCTGACATTGTGTCCACAAACGGGAGAATTTCTCTTCCAAAGACTGCAGTTGTAATATTGCTTTCTGATATATAGATGATTCTAATGGTTTACAGTGTGTACATACTGCCTGGGCTAAAATAAATAAATTCAATTATTGTGAATTAGGATTTCTTTGATGTATTCAGCTAAATGGTCCGAGCGGATGTCAAGGGTTGTCGCATATTTATTCCTTTGTACGTAATTGGGGGCCTTTACAAGACAGTTCCATACAGATCAGATTATAAATTTTGGCGTTTGAGGGTTTACAAGGTTCTACAAACTGAACCAGCGGCTGCCAGGCAGGATAGGCCCACATTTTCGAGAGATGGATAGAGAACAAGCTAACAAGAAAGTGATTTTTCCTACAATCAAGGGCCATAATTCAGGAAATTACAATTCGATATGCGCGAATATCGAAAGGAACTGAGATCTTTGTGTTATAAACTTACATTTCAAATTTCAACAAAGTCGGATAAAAATTGCGACCTCTATAGGGTCCACAACCTTGATATACCATATTTTTACGCTATTTGAGAACGAATGGCGGCCATTTTGTCTGTCAATTTTGGGCCGATTTTCACAAAATTCGAACTTGGCCATCCTTAGGGTGTAACGGTGATATAGTAATACGTTTTTTTAAATCGGATAAAAATTATGACCTTTATAGGGTCCACAAGCTAAAAACGCAATTTTTGGTACAATCAGGGGCCATAATTCAGGAAGTTACGTTCCGATATGCGCGAATATCGAAAGGAACCAAGATCTTTGGGTTATAAACTTGCATTTCAAGTTTCAACAAAATCGGATAAAAATTGTGACCTCTATAGGGTCACAAGCTAAAAACGTGATTTTTCGTACAAACAGGGGCCATAATCCATGAAGTTTCGATCCGATACATGCCAATATCGAAAGCAGCCAAGATCTTTTGGTGATAAACCTATATTTCAAGTTTCGTCAAAATCGGACAAGAATTGTGACCTGTAGAGAGTCCACAAACAAATTGTGGACGGACGGACGACGACAATATACGTCCACATGAAAATGTGGGCGTATAAAAAAGGGTCTCATCTCTGGAAGTAATCTACAGAAATTGTTGAAATTTGACAGGCTTTTTCGTTTTACTAATTTAAATAATGCATATAAATTTCATAAAGATCACATGATCACTTTTGTCATTCAAACGTTCACAATCGCCATAACTCTAGAAATTATTGACGGAAATTGCTGATATTCAATAGACCTGTTTCACAAATTTAAATGATGCATATAAATTTCATACATATCTGATGATAACTATCATCAATCGAGCATTATCAAGGTTAAACAAAGTGAAACAAGGGCAATAACTCTAGAAGTAATTAATGTAAATTGCTGAAATTCAATAGGCTTTTTTGTTTCGCTAATTTAAATCATGCATATAAATTTCACAAAGATCGAATGATAACTTTTGGCGTTGTAGCATTCACAAGGATCAATAAAGTGAAACAAGGACCATAACTCTAGACGTAATAAACGGAAATTGCTGAAATTCAATAGGCTTCTTCGTTTCACTAACCTGAATAATGCATATAAATTTCACAAAGATCGAATGATAACTTTTGGCGTTGTAGCATTCACAAGGATGAATAAAGTGAAACAAGGACCATAACTCTAGACGTAATAAACGGAAATTGCTGAAATTCAATAGACTTCTTCGTTTCACTAACCTAAATAATGCATATAAATTTCAGAAAGATTGGATGATAACTTTTGACGTTGGAGCGTTCACAAGGTTCAATAAAGTGAAACAAGGGCCATAACTCTAGACATAATAAACGGAAATTGCTGAAATTCAATAGACTTCTTCGTTTCACCAGTTTAAATAATGCATGTAAATTTCAGAAAGATCGGATGATAACTTTTGGAGTTAGAGCGTTCACAAGGTTCAATAAAGGGAAACAAGGGCCATAACTCTAGACGTAATAAACAGAAATTGTTGAAATTCAATAGGCTTCTTCGTTTCAGTAATCTAAATAATGTATATAAATTTCAGAAAGATCGGATGATAACTTTTGGCGTTAGAGCGTTCACAAGGTTCATCAAAGTGAAATAAGGGCCATATGTAAACAACATATATCAATTTTAAAACAATTGGATGATAACTTTTGGCGTTAGAGCGTTCACAAGAAATTGTGGACAGACGGACGGACGGGGGTGATGGCAATATACGTCCACATTTCAATGTGGGCGTATAAAAACAGGTTATGGTCACCTTTCTGTGTATTTTGACATCTATATTCTGACTCGGCTTTGGACCTCACTATGGACTTTGATTTTTTGACCATTGTGTTTTTAAATTAAACAAGCTAACAGTGAGGATGATGTCCCCCACCGAAATTCCAAAATAAAAAGATGACGCATTTTAATTTATCACACATTTATTTTTTTCAAACGTATCAAGCAATCAAACTGATTATCAACTATACACTAAGTTTCATCACTCTCAATCAGATAGAATCAAACTCATCTTGTCCCAAAGCATTGACCAATGAAATTGCTTAGCTCTCCTTAGCTTTAGCTCAAAATGTTAATCATTGAACTCAGTCAAGACATTCACCTAATGAACATCTACATCAAGTTTAAATATTCTACCTCGGTTAAAAGCAGAGTTGTTATGTTCCAAAGTCTTGACCAATCAAATTCTCATCATTGAACTTAGTCAAGGTAAATGATATAATGAATCTATACTCAGAGTTTCATCACTCTCACTTAATTAAAACCTATGTTTATTCACTCCAAAGCATCAACCATTGATCAGATTGTTTATCTCTGCTTACCGTAAGCAGACAATGTTTATCATCAAACTAGATCAAGGCATTTACCTAATGAATGCCTACACCAAGTTTGAACATTCTACCTCAATTAAAAGGAGAGTTACTGTGTTCCAATGTCTTGGTCAATCAAATTGCTTATCGCTCTTACCCTGAGCAGAAAGTGCTCATTATCGAACTTAGTCAAGGTATTTATGTGATAAAACTATACACCAAGTGTCCTCACTCTCACTAAATTAGAACTAAAGTTATCGTGTCCCAAAGCATCAATTAATCAAATTGCTTATCTCTGCTTACACCTAAGCAGAAAATTCTCATCTTCGAACTCCATCAAGGCATTCAGCTAATAAACACTTATGCCAAGTGTGAAGATTCTAGCTCAATTAGAATGAGAGTTATTGTGTTCAAAAGTCACAGCCAATCAAATTGCTTATCGCTCTGCTTACCCTGAGCAGAAAATGCTCATTATCAAACCTAGTCAAGGTATTGATGTAATAAAACTATACACCAAATTTCATCACTCTCACTCACTTACTTACTTAGTTATCATTCCCAAAGCATCAACTAATCAAATTGCTTATCTCTGCTTACCCTTAAGCAGAAAATTCTCATCTTCGAACTCCATCAAGGCATTCACTTAATAAACACCTATGCCAAGTTTGAAGATTCTAGCTCAATAAGAATGAGAGTAATTGTGTTCAAAAGTCACGGCCAATCAAATTGCTTATCGCTCTGCTTACCCTGAGCAGAAAATGCTCATTATCAAACGTAGTCAAGGTATTGTTATAATAAAACTATACACCTAATTTCATCACGCTCACTTACTTAAAACTAAAGTTATCGTGTCCCAAAGCATCAAACAATCATTGCTTATCTCTGCTTACCCTAAGGAGAAAATGCTTATCTTCGAACTCCATCAAGGCAGTGACCTAACAAACACCTACACCAAGTTGGAACATTCTAGCTCAATTAAAAGGAGAGTTATTATGTTCCAAAAAGTGTGGCGGTGTGACGGACAGATAGACCCATTTTAATAATCCCCGGCTAACCTTGAAAGCAATTGGGGAAATTTTGCCTACACAGCGGCATTCTACCTACTCTTACTGCGATTTCCAACTGTCCAGGAACCTCGGTTTTTTGTCCCATCCAAAAGACCAGACACTTTTCCTGGTAAGTCCCTCTATACTGTATCACTGACAAGGGGGAAAAGGACTACAAAATCCACTAGAAACTTTGTTGGCATAATGCAGGGATCAAACTTTGGACCTCCTGGTTACCAAGCAAGTATCCAACACACTGAGCCACTGCGGCTCCTCTATTATTGAAGCCTTCATTGGGAAAGGCTATTTACGTAAAGTTTTTGAAAGTCTTCTCTCCCACGACTCAGACTTTTAGTACTAGGCTATAGTGCTCCTACGGTTAGGACTTTTTTTTATTCGAATAACCCAAACTATTAACAGGTTAGTAACCGTTTAACCATATGGTGTCAATTTTAAACATAAAACAGAGCTTGTCTGGGGTGTGAGTCATTACACTTGCGCACACTATACTAGCCTAAAAGGCATTACACGATCAAAGATTTAATGAATTTTTTCATAGACATGTTGAATTCTTTAATGAAAATTTAAACTAACTATGGCAGTAGCTATTTGTTTACCTGGTTAAATTGGTTCATTTCAAACATTTTTTAATTCAATATACATCTAAGATAATATACAAAACAATACTCTGTTCCCTTCGTATGTGACGTGACATATGGCAATAATATTACGATTACACAATGTTCCTAAGAATAGAATAAAGTAAATTGGAAGGCGTCTATTGATTGGACAATAAAGAAATAATTCCTCGCTTGCAAGTAGAATTTTTACGATTGGTTAATTTAACTAAAGATAGGTTGCGAGGCAACGAAACATACGCCCACAGCAGTTAAATTATCCGGGCAGAAAACAAGAGATGTCGCATATTTTTACTTTCGTCGGTAATGAACATTTATAATACACCAAAATTTGATTAAGAATAACAACTCATTAAGTAATTATCAGAAAAATCATTAGAATTTGATTAGCCCATGATATCGTTTAGTATATAAAACATTTAATATTATGGATTTAGCTGTTCAAGTTATCAAAAATCTGAAGACCTTAAACTCTGTGTAGCAATCTAAAGTCAATCGAAACAATTATTATATAGGTGTAAACACAGTGTTTAATATAAAATCAATTAGATCATAACTATTGTCTCTAAAGCATCAACAAGATTTTTCAAAGTGATCAAGGACCA